CCCGTGGCCCCTCCCCGGTGCTGTGGCCTCCCGCAGGGTCCGAGCCCGGCACGGCTGCTGGACCCTGCAGGAGCCTTGCCCTGAGTGCACCCCCTTCCTGGCGCGCTCGTGTCCCTGTCAGGCCGCTCACTGCCTTCTCTCTCTTCTCTGTCCTTTCCTTTCAGCCGGTGAGTAAGGTGGAGCTTGGTGTGACTCCTGGTGCCAACTTGTGCATGGTCCCTGCTCGCCCGCGTGCCCAGCCTGCTGCTGGGGTGGCACTGTGTGTGCGTGCGTTTTGTGTGCGCGCGGCGGGTTTTGGAAGGACCCTGCGGTCTCTCCCTGCACGTGCACGTACACGCGCTCAGGCTGACGCTCTCTGTGTGTGCACGAGCCAGCACATGCTGTGCCATGCAGAGCCAGGAGCCTGTTCTCCGCCTGTCCTGGGTGACAGCAAGCGACAGGTCTGCGTGTGTCTCTACGCCAGGCGAAGCGAGAGACTGTGTGTGTAAACACGTGTGCTGTGCTGGGGGCTAGAGTGTGCTGTGCTGTGTGCATGCCCGGGCACCGGGGGAGTGTGCTCCTCCTCAGGGCTCCTCCTTCTGTCCTTATAGGACTCTGGAGGGACTGGGATGTTGCGCTATGTCCTCCCCTGCACATCCCACATTTGCAGACAGATTTTCAGAAATAGGAATGGGGAGAGGAAAGTGATTATGGGTCTTGAAATGCTTTGGAAGGAGAGGGAAGTCCTGGGTGGGGTAGTTGTTGAGTGCATGAAGAAACTGTAACTTAAACCTGAGGAACTCATTGCCGTGAGATGTCCCAGAGGGAATGGACTCCACGGGGCTAAAGGGAGGATCATCCTTATCCTATGCAGAATGAGACCAGACAGTGTCACATTAAAAAGGACTGCAAATAATACATGGCGAAGGGACAGCACCTGGTAGGGAGGACTGAGGAACCCACCATTTCAAAGAGAGTATCCGGGACTCCTTGCTGTGCAATGGCTGGTGAGTGGCACTAGCAGCAACGCAAAATGAAGATGGTTGGGCCCCAAGCAGGACTGGCAGACCCTGCCCTAGGCAGACAAATTCTGGGAATGAGGGACAAATAGAGGGTTGTGAGAGCCTGACAGGAAGGTTCATACAGAAAAGGAGAAGTTACGGACCTGTCACCTGCTTCACAGTGTGCCCAGGTCACCCACACCCCTGCTCCTTTCCCCACAGATCCTGCAGAAGCCAACGCACGAGCTGAAGCAGCAGCTGGCTGCATACTCTAAGCGCGTGGCCAGCTCCGTCACTGAGCTCATCCAGGCTGCCGAGGCCATGAAAGGTAAGTCCATGTGCTGCTTCCGGCTTGGGAGACAGGATCTAGGGCCATGATTATGGTCTGTGTCCAAGCAGCTGGTGGGAGTAGGTAGGGTGAGAGCCTGCCCCAAGCTCACAGATGGGGATGTACAGGGCTAGGGATCACAACCAGAAATGTGGCCCTGTGCAGGTTTAGCCTATCTTGGTTCTTTTTTCCTCTAGGGATGGAATGGGTTGACCCAGAAGATCCCACCGTCATTGCTGAGAACGAGCTGCTGGGGGCAGCAGCTGCCATTGAGGCTGCAGCCAAGAAATTGGAGCAGCTGAAACCAAGGGCCAAGCCCAAGGTAGTGGTGCTAAGCCCCATCTGACAACCTATGCTGAGCTTTGAGCAAGCTGGGGGCTCTCCTAACTCTGTGTCCATCTCTCCTTCCCCTTCCTGCACTGCCACTGCCTCCCCACATCTGCAACTGGATCTTTCTCCAGCAGCTTCTTGCCCTCTGTGTCCCACAGCCATAGTTCCATCTCTGTATGTGCACCCCTCAACTTTCCGCCAACTTCCAGAGCTTCCAGGATATGCTGTATCTTGTTTCCCAACACCTCTCTCATAACCCTCTTTTCACCTACAGCAAGCAGATGAGAGTCTGAACTTTGAGGAGCAAATTCTAGAAGCTGCCAAGTCCATTGCTGCAGCCACAAGTGCCCTGGTGAAGGCAGCCTCAGCAGCCCAGCGAGAATTGGTGGCCCAAGGAAAGGTAAGGTTGATGAGATAGGGGTAGAAATAGATAGCATGTGACTCTGTGGTGGAGTGCTGTATGTGCAGTGATGGGCTCCTGAACCCTGCACAACCCGTGGCAGGTGAGCTTGTGCAGAAGAGACACTGATGCAAGGGTGGCTGGTGGACAGCATTTCCCTTTGTATAGCACCCTGAGGAAAGCCTTGTGTATCAAAGATCCTGCT